TTTCGTAAAGGGATTTAAGGAAAAATGGAAATCAATATGGAAGCACCAATAACGGGATAATGATTGATGGGAAAATAACAAGAATGCTATTTTTTATGGAAAGTATTTAAATTATGCTAAATAATCAATAATGACCTAAAAATACAATTGGAAAGTATCCTAAAAGCGATGGAACTCTGTTTTAATTGTTATTTCTGATTTTTGCGGCTACGCAGTCCTAATTGAACTGTACCCTAAAAGATCTATTCTGACTCGCCAAGTTAAATATTTATTTTTGTCCGACAACTTCCGAGAAGCTCGGTACCCTTAGTACGAGTTTTACATTTACGAAAACTATGATTGTTTTCGTGAGCTCGCACTCGTACTTAGGGTACTGATTTTATTGTTTTCGTTTCAATACAAATAAATAGTGTTTAAAATCTATCATTAAATCATTTGCGTCTTCTTAATTTTTAAGTATATTTGGTTAGATTCCTTAGCATGGGGTGTGCCTATTTTGAACTCCTGTCTCCCAGAAGTTTTATAGCCTGAAATTTGTATTCTTGTAAAGCTTTGGGAGAAAATAAATTATAATAATTATTCAAACCAAATATATAATTCCGATAATTATTACTCAATAGAATTACTGAACTGATAATGAAAAAAATATCATTTTCTTGAAAACTTATTAGCATACTTTTATTGGAAACATAAACGAGATTGTATTGTTTTAAAAATTCTCAGAAGTTATCCTTCGGTAAAACCTCTTTAGTAATTACAAAATCAACATTGTTTAAATTTAAATATTAATGAATGGCGCCGACTATGAAACCGACACGTGAAACACGATGACTCATACCATACAATTTTGTTTTGAATTTTAACAAGAAAGACATAAGAGTTATTTTATCAAGTACTTTAGTCTCTTATAAAAGAAGTGGTCAGGAAAAGGTCGTATGTAAAAGCAATAAAAAAATAAGTTATATTGTTAAGAAATAAAGTTGTTAATATCTAGTTTCTCCTGAGTGTAAGCGTGTTAAAGTTTTCATTCATAACTTAGTATGGCATAATTAATAAGTAGGTGAAAATGTAGCTATAATAATGCTCGTCTGCTTGGGTTATTTGGTATAATATTATGTTAATAAGAAGAAAGAGCTGTCTTCTCGTATTTTGTATGTTTCATTATTGACAGTAATTTTGTAACAGTGACAGTATCAAGAATATATTTTATAAAACCATAAACTAAAGGAAAAGTTCTAATGAAATTAAACAGTAGGTAAAAAAAATAAACTGACTTCAAAAATAGATGAGGTTTTCGTTTCGTCAGTATTGGTCAAGTACAAAAATTTAATTATTTTATTGGTAAGTGATAAATGTACATATAAATTAATTGAAACGTTGTGCTTAATATCTAAATTGCCTTCCCGGTTACTCTGCATTGTGTTAGGCAATGGGGCACTTAAACATTTTTTTTACTTCCCGGACTAATACCAAATACTACAGAACCGGAGGAACTCGGTAGAATTTCTATAGTACATATTTGCTATTACAAAGGTCAGTGCCCTTCCACATCCGAAGCGCTGGTAAGATTAATAGTTTAGTAGTTAACAAAATCTGTGACGGAGATCTCAAAGGTGCCGTTCGCCTTTTGTTCTCCAATGACGTGCTATCACCAGATACCCCTGACACCCTTCAGGCCTTACGGACAAAACATCCCCCAGCTCCAGCAAACCCATATTTTCTCGACCCACCAACAGCAGGGCAAGCATGCCTTCAAATTCAATACAAAGATGTTATGGATGCCATTTTATCTTTTAAACCAGGTTCGGCTGCAGGTTTGGATGGAATCTCACCCCAACATTTGAAAGATTTAACATCGCATTCTGTGGGTAATGCAGGCGAGCAACTTGTAAATTCGATCACTAAATTAATCAACTTTATGTATTCCGGTAGTGTCAATCCAGAAATTGTTCCTATTCTTTTCGGCGCGAACCACATTGCCCTGACCAAAAAGGACGGAGGGGTGAGACCAATTGCTGTTGGATCAACACTACGACGTCTGGCCTCCAAAATTGCTGTTCGACATATTTTACCAAAACTAAATTCGGAATTTGAACCCGTACAGTTAGGCTTCGGTGTCAAAGGAGGGTGTGAGGCAGCCGTCCATGCCCTACGCTCCTTCTTAACTTACGGGCAGCCTGACGTGTTGCTCAAAATTGATGTCAAAAATGCATTCAATTCGGTAAATAGGGATACCCTGCTGACAGAAATAAAACAACATATACCGGAAATATACAATTATCTTCTTCTCAGTTACGCCGACCCAACAAAATTGTTATATCGTTCTAATGAACTGTCCTCGGAAGTAGGTTGTCAACAGGGTGATCCCCTTGGGCCTGCAATTTTTAGTTTGGCTATAAATCCGATAATCAAAAATTTAAATTTTAAATTCAATGTTTGGTATTTGGACGACGGAACCCTAGGAGGTGATGTGGATACTGTGTTTTCGGACCTTTTTTTAATCAAAAATAAATTTGAAGCCATCGGTTTGGAGCTTAATTTTAGCAAATGCGAACTTTTTATAAATAACAACGACTTAAATTTAAATGACGTTAAACAAAAATTTAATATTTTAGCTCCAAATATTAAAATAGTTAACAGTAATTCCCTTTACCTTTTAGGTTCTCCAATTTTTGATGAATCTATTTCTGAATATATTAATAATTCAATTAATAAATTTCAAAATTCTGCCGACCGTCTCTTTGAAATTAGTCCACATTATGCACTTTGCATCTTGAAATTCTGTCTTTTTGTCCCAAAATTTACGTATGTGCTCCGTTGCTGCTCCTTTTGGAATCACTTAGATCTTTTGTCACAATTAGACGACTTAATCAAAATTAACTTAGAATCGGTTCTTAATATGCAGCTGAACGAACAATCTTGGACCCAAGCATCCCTACCCATCCGTTATGGTGGTTTAGGGATTCGCAAAATTTCCAGTGTCGCTTTACCAGCCTTCCTATCTTCTGTCCATAGATCAGCAAATCTCATAAGTAAAATTTTAAGGGCATCCCCTTCAAACTTTGAGATTGCTGGCTTGGAAGAAGCTAGAAACGCTTTCTTAATTGCATGCCCAGGTCAAAATTTTCCAGTTTCTCCAAATTCACAGAGGAGCTGGGACGACATAAATTGTAAATTAACTTATAATAACCTTTTGAGCTGCAGTACAGGTTCGGCGCGTGCTAGGCTTTTGGCCGTGGGTACGCATGAGGCCGGCTACTGGCTTCACGCGTACCCTTCGACAAATACAGGCACATTTCTTGAGCCTGACACACTCCGAATGGCAACCTGTCTACGGCTTGGGGTCCCGGTCTGCGCTCCTCATAAATGTCCCTGTGGCAGTGATGTCGACAAGCTAGGACATCATGGACTGTCTTGCCAAAAGAGTGCAGGCCGCTTCTCGAGACACGCCGCACTTAACGATATCATACGCCGGTCCCTTGCCACCGTCAACGTGCCAAGTCTATTTGAGCCAACTGGTATTGCAAGAGACGATGGCAAGAGACCGGACGGTATGAGTTTGATTCCATGGAAGATGGGTCGGGTGCTAGTATGGGATGCAACCTGTTCAGACACGCTGGCCCCTTCCCATCTACATGGAACCAACAACAGAGCTGGTGCGGCTTGTGAAGCGGCTGAAAAAGTTAAGGCAGGCAAATACAGGGGTCTAGGCTCCGAATATGATTTTGTCCCATTCGGTGTCGAGACCCTTGGTCCGTGGGGTCCTAGCGCTATAAGGCTTTTTAAAGAAATAGCGAAAAGATTAGTCGACATCACAGGAGACCGAAGAGCTGGCAGCTACCTCGGACAAAGAATAAGTCTAGCTATCCAAAGGGGGAACGCTGCCAGTATCTTCGGAACCTTGCCTAAAGGGACTCCTTTTAATAATGTATTTTAGTTATTATATTTTATTTTTTAAGGTTTTTAGTTTTAGGTTCATTGTTATAGTATATTTTTTGTTTTAATTATTTTTAAATTTATTCATTAGAAATTCCTTTAATATATTTTAACACTTGACATTGGCTAAATGCACAAGCCATGTTTAGTAGTTTAATGCATAAATATTTTCTTAAAACATTGTTTTTATTTTATATCCACGACTTGAAGGGACTTGAAGTACATCATATAAGGACTTATTCATTAATTTTCTTAAAATATTTGCATGAAGTTTTAACTTTTTATAAAAACCTGTATATATAAATATTAGTGTGTTATGTTTGTATGTATTATATTCTTTTTATAGTATGTATTTATATATGTATCTATGTTAATTTGTATATATATTCGTATTTAGCTTTATACCGCCGTTCGTGTTTTTCATTTTTCCCAAAGGTTGACTGGGAGAGAATGCTTTTAGCATTAAGTCCGCGTTTTGCACCAATGTTATGTATTTTGGTCAATAAAGTTTAAAAATAAATAAATAAATATATGAACATAATGAAATTTCGTATTATATCTTTGGGCCTTGATAAAGGACGAAGTACGAACGTAGGCACAAAGAACATTTATAGCAAAGAAAGAAAACAAAGCTAAGGAAATAAGGAGAAATATTGGATGAAAGTTTGTATGTGAAGCAATCACATTACAAAAAATGACCTAGACAATGTTGCAAGCATCAGCCTATAAATAAAACAGGGTTTTACCAGTCTATATACACGCGGCCTTCAACTACATTTAAGAGAATAACGAGTTAACTACATACGCGGTTATTTTGGTTCGACGAGCCACAACCTCAGATACAGATATGAAAGTGCATCCTGTTTTACTCTTTTTAATTTAATATTGCGGCAACGGGGAATTCCTACTTACGATACAGGATTTAAACGTGGATTGTATGATAGGATGATAACTAAATTACTGCAACTTCGTATGAATACTGTACTTGAAGGATTTTCATGTATGGAAATGCCTAGAAAACTGAATTATTTGGGAACTGCGAAGGAGGCTGGGGAAGGACTTACCTCGCTGTCGCTTGTCCTCCGGGCCAGTAGAAGGCCCAGAACGGGTCCTTGAAAGGCAGTTCTTCCTCCCTGGCCTTCCACAGTGGGCAGGAAGGTGTGATCAGCCGCAGCACTAGCTCAGGAGTCAGGTGGGAACGGGAGCACACCGTATGCTTGAAGATGAGTGAAGTGACGTCTTTCAACATTTTTATGTAAACCTGAAAATAATTTTGTTTTGTTGTTTGTGTTCATCATCATCGACGACACTTTTTGTGACGAGTTTGAGCATTTGCAATCCAGTCATTAATGTTGAGCGTTTGTACTCCAGTCATGGATGTATTTCTTTATAAATATACTTATATATGTATCAGTATACATGTGTATTCTATCCGTTACGCTAGTATCCCATAACACAAGCCTACGGTGCTTACTTTGGGGCGGGGCTAAATGGCGTGAGTGTTGGAAAGATTTATTTATTTATTATCATCATCACCCTATTAATGTCCCCACTGCTGGGGCACAGGCCTTCCACCAGGACCCACGACGCGGGTTCAGTGAGGATTAGTGGGTGCTCAGTATTGCAGATGCAGCCGGGACCAACGGCTTAACGTGCCTTCCGAAGCACGAAGGAGATAGTAAACTTTTGGTCACCCATCCAATGATCTACAACTGCGAAAGTAGATTAAATTCAACGATCGTTACTAAACCAATCTTGAACTAAACACTTGCGTCATCGAACTCCTTGTTTGATTGAGCAGAATTTAATTCTTTCTATTCCTAACAATAATGAGGTGTCTATTGTAAATATTTGGCACCGAATATTTTGTGTTGTTGAAGTATTGGTATTGGTCGACAACAATAAATACGATTAATTTGATTGATTGAATACGTATTCTCCTAACGCACACCCGTTAATACATGAATAGTAGCAAAATGAATTCCAATAGCCACACTTAAATGTGGCCTCATTTTTTTTTATAGATAGGTCCAACAAATGACTCCACCCTACCTGATGTTAAGTGAAGGTGAAGTCCAGACGCGATGATAGCTGATACAGCAGTTCTACTTGCAACACCAGCCATCCTCACCCTGCCAGCCTGCATATAGATTCTTCACACCTCTTTTAAAGGATCCCAGGTTGTAAGAGGGAGGGAACACATGAGCGGGCAGAGCATTCCATTTACGGATAGTGCGACAAAGAAATAAGTCACCAAATTTCTTTGTACGCGTTAAATTAAGCCTCTCCTGCATCATCTATCTTCGCAACTGTACTCCATTTACACTTACCATCACGTGCAGAGGGTTAATTTGTTGCGCCTCATAAAAAAATATAGAAAAGAAAGCATATTGTTATTAAAAAGCTTTTGTTTAGTTTCGTATTACGTGGCCCTGATATGTAGTCCCAAACTTGATATGTATTGCCTACAATCAGAATGTCACCAAAAGCCGAATACGCCCACGTCCCGACCTTATGATAGGTTTCTACTGATTGACCAGTGCCGATAATTTTTGAGAGCAAAAAATAATCGGAACAGTTTGAAACCCATACTAAAAGGAAGGGAACACATTAAAAACAGGGGAAAAAGAAATTACGGGCGATTTAAGGTCGGGACGGTTCATCGCGATTTTCGGGAAAACTTCAACTCCTAGCTAAATAATTTCAATGGCAAAATTGTACGTAATCAGAAGATCTACATCTTCTGTATTTACAATTTTTTCATAAATTTCAATTGATGCAAATGCAATCGATTGATGATACTGCAGACCGCAGATCAACAATTGATGCTCAGCTCAACAACTGGAATATATACATACATACACATACATGGATCGCTCGTGCAGTTGCGACTGCTCGGGCGGTTGGTATGAACTTCTCAAGTAGATAGATGATAGATAGATAATGAGTTTATTGTTTTCTCAACATACATATACATATCCGAGTAATACAGTTAAAAAGAAAAATGAAAAGATTCAAGAAATCGGCTATGAATACCCATATGTATGTTGCAGAATATAAAAGGCCAAGGGTCGGCTAAATATTATTATATTATTTTTATATATTATTATAATCAGTTCGTGTATGGCCGCTCATAAACACCCCGACAGGGAATCTACTCTTTTTCTCCGAAACGAACTTTCGATAACAAAGTTCAAACGAAATTTAATTTCGTTAATTTAAGGTTATATTTAATTTGAACGATAAACTATCAAATTGAAGCTTTCTTTGAGTAGGTTTAAAAAATCTACAGTTCAATCTTTATTCCGACGACGTATATTATTATAATTATAAACGATCCAGAAACATAGTAAGAAAATTGCGAAGTTTCGATCGAAATTTCGTTTTTCGTTGAATTACAGTAGGCCTGCAGGGACATTCATCATTCCTCTGTCCTGATGCCCATATTGGAATTAGAACGCCAGTTCTGCGGGGTAGGAGATTACGTTCAGGTCAAGGCTGTAAAGATGGCTGGAACAGCCTCTGCTGCATCATCTATCTTCGCAACTGTACTCCATTTACACTTACCATCACGTGCAGGGGGTTAATTTGTTGCGCCTCATAAAAAAACATAGAAAAGAAGCTATATTGTTATTAAAAAGCAATTGTTTAGTTCGCTCTGTGTCTCAGCTACTTAGGACCTTTTTCATTTGAGATAATTAGCTAGTTTTCAATAGAGCATTAGGGTTGGCACTCTTGGTTTTGATAAAATGAATTGGATTTAATTTATTATTTATTTAAACGTTATCAACTTGCTTTTTATTAAATTAGGGGTACATTTATTTCTTACATCAGTCCACTTCAGTACCATCTGTGAAAAAACCCTTTCCACGAAGCTGTTTGAGCTAGGAATACTAAAAACGAAGGATAAAATTCGGAAAAAATTGGGGATTTCGGTATTTGAAAACTCTTCGATGACTTTCATCCACTTTTCGATCGCACCCATACTTTTACCATCAGAAGTTGTGCTAACAATATCCAGAGTATTTTTTAATTATTTGGAATTCTTCATACAAGCAACCCATATTTATTTCTTCTATTTATAATTTCCCGCAGCTTCTTAAAAATTGTTGCAGGTATGACACTACTACTGGCCTCATCACATTCAGTATCACTCAAATCACTCATTTAATCTTTATCGAAATTAAGCATTATGTTTTCAAGCGTATTTATGTAGAAGTAAAATACTTTTTTGTTCATCTCAATCGGATATTTCGTTTAAAAGTTATCACGTGTGTAAGATGTTAAGAGTTGGTGGTACCTATTAATGAGTTATGGGCCATAGAGTTTTTTATCAACATAAAATCCTGTAATAATCTTTTTCGAAATAAATTTGTTGATGATAGTAAGTATAAGATTGAAGAGTATAATAAATACATATCTAAAATAACTCTGCTAAGGATATCCACGCGCGCTTTATTTTATTTTTTTCATTTATTCAATCAAATCAATTACATTTTTGATATACAATGGCTGTATCTAAAAAACCCTTAAACATGGGTTTATCTGTCTACAGCGATTCGCTCTAACAAATATTTTTTAAGTTTATGTTTACAATTATCTTTCATATACAATTCTTGAATACTGGGGGGCATTTCATTTAGAAATTTAGGAATAACATATTTTAGTGTTCTCGAACCATATACATTGTTGGTTTTCGGTAGGAGATATTTTTTATAATTAAGGTTACGCAAGTATTCTGGACGATGGTGAGTCTGTAGATTATGAGCACTGTTATATTCTGTTAAAACACAAAATTTGACTTTATCGTATACACTCAACACTTTACAATGGTTAAACAACTCACCATAATTTTCTTTATATTTATTTTTAATATATTTTGGAACTTGATGCAGGCTATAATGCAATGCAGTGCGACGCGTACTTGCAAGCGGTCGTGCGCCACTGTACAGTAAGAATTTAATTCGCGCTCCACGCGGCAACAGCTGTCGTGAGTCGGTAGCAATGAGTTCCGATCAACTCATAGCTAACGAGTTGTTGGCGTTTATACAATACGCCATTGACACCATGGACGAGGTCAGCATCCTGCAGATCTGTAAGTCCAACTTCAAGGAGGATGAGGTTTGCAGTGGCAAGCCGCTGCTGTTCCGGTTTGTCGGCAAGGCCGACAAGATGCCATCTCGACGGAGGGATGGAACAGAAAAGAGTGTGCAGGATATAATCACCCTGCTAAAGGGGACGGATCCGGATGACGTGCCTACATTCGTGGCAAAAGAGCTGCACAAGCTGCCCCCAGTCACGTTCGACCACGTCGATGTCACCAGGCTGCTGAAGGACATCAACTTCCTGAAAGCTAGCCTGGCTGATGTAGTGAGCAAATAACACCATCGGTGAGTTGCGAGCTCAGGTAGACTTATTAAGCAACAATGCATGCGCAAGTAGGTCACCCGAAGTCTCTTATGTGAACACACGTCGTGGGGCGCTGCATGCATCCGCGCTGCATGCATCCTACGCAGCTGCAGCCGCCAGCCGACCCGTTGATGCGGTTCCGAATTGCGAGCGTCGTAGTAAACAACAAACAGAGAAGAGTAGCAAACACAGCATCCAACGTGCTACTCCGGCAGCGTCACAAAAGCGGATTTCTGACGAAGAGGGTTTCATTAAAGTGGAAAGGAAGAAGAGGAAGCCCATTCGCCGCAGCCTGTGTGGTGTCGCCCCGACCGGACCGAACCATCTGCTGCGTCCTGCAATACCGCCGACGCCGCTGTACGTGTCCCGACTGCATTACTCTACGAAGGAAGAGGAGATCGTAGAGTACCTGCGGATTAAGACCAATTTCTCCCTCAGAGTCGCACGGTTGGAGTCCCGTCGCAATGTGAATTTTAATTCCTTTGTGGTGCGGGTGCCAACCGAACATCTGGCGACGACGTTCGACGACGTTCCGACGTTCATGAAAGAAGATTTTTGGCCCAAAGGTGTTGTGTTCCGGCGGTTCCGAGGCCGGCTACCTGACACCACTCCGCGTCACACGTCGCCGTCTATAAGTGTTAATTAGGTTTCTACTAACATAGTTATTACTATTTTTTAATGACTAACATTTAATGTATTACCTATATCTGTATTTATGTTAGACTATAAGGTATTTATCTATGGGCCTACGTTGCCTGACTATAAACAAATAAATAAAAAAATATAATATTATAGGCAATATTTTATCTCGGTTTTTCCACGGAAACGAGAAAAACGCGTGTGAAACCGCGGGGCACGGCTAGTAATATATATAACCTCTCCTTGGTAGCTTATAAGTACAGAGCGAGGCCTAGTACTTTGACTGATTGAAGTTTTTCGCATAATAGTACGTTTTATGAACGTTGCGTGTGTGATTTTTTGGATCGATTTCATAATGAAAAACGAAGTACAGTTCAAATACGGGACAGAGTCAGTCTCACCGGGACATTTTAAACTATGCCTAAAATACCGGACGTCCCGGGAACTACGGGACGTCTTATCAAAAATATAGTATATTTTTTTTGTCATTGACAAAAAATAAGGCCGTTTTATGGTAACAGATCTCTTGTTGCGTCTAATAGATCAGATCCCATTTTGACAAATGTTCTTATATTATGTTCTATATCAAATAGCTTTTTCAAAAGCTTTTCAATCCCTTATTTGTATTATAAATAGGGTAAACAGCATATTTTTTTTTATACAAAAACCAAAATGGAACGTTTTGTAATAGCGTCAGTATGCCATACATAGAAATGTCAATGTCATGTAATGTAACACACATTGCAATTCAGAGAATATTACTTATAGATGGCTTAATGAAGGTCTATAAACGTGAAGAAATTCCCCACCTCTTGCCATCTTTATTGGAAAACGAAGATACTTATGAACACCTTTACACCTTCATTACTTCTACTTTTATGAACATTTGAAGAAAAATTTACAATCAACGAAGAATGTTACTAATGTATAGGCTGTATAGACTTGTCCAAAGCCGTTAAATTTCTAAATAAAAAAAAAATGTGTGTAACATTGCCAGCAACTTAATATTTGCACGACTTTTTGGCGGGATCGGAAAGCGAAACTTTAGCAGTTTTGTTTTACTTGTTAAAAATTGTGTTGTGGCGGATGTTAGTATCTAATAATGGTGGATTATTAACCACTGAGTGTTCGGGAACATGCACAAGTGTTCGCAAGTGAAACCAAATAGCGGAAAGTGTCTTTCGACGTTCTCTCAAGTAGTCCACGGGAGGTTCCAGTAAATCCCCACACATTTACTGAAACATAGGGAAAGGGGGATTGACTTGACTGCCACTTACTTCGACTTTATTTATTACTTTGACCAAGAGTGCTATAGAATTTGTAAACATTTTTCACACTTGACAATGGCTTAATACACAAGCCGTGCGAAGCCATTTAGGAAAAAAATGCACTTTAGTGCGCATAATTTTCACAAAAATAAAACACCAAAAACCATTTGTGTATAATGTATATTATAATCAATAACTATTTCGACGTTTATTCAAAGGTTGTCCATGTCCTTTGAAACGAGTCTGGGCTTTTACCAATTCAGCTAGATTTTTTGTTAGAAACCTGTCACACGATTTGTGGAAATTATATCTTTGATAAATTTCCGTTGTATTGTCAATTTCGTATAACTTGATTTTTTTTCTAGCTTCTAATAGATCAGATTTCAGTTTTTCAGTTTCTAATAGATCAGATTTCAGTTTTCTTTTCCGTGGTGTGCCCGTTAAAAGATATTTGGCAGTTTGAGTACTGAAACTCACTAGACGTGGCGTATCTTCAGTCTGTATACATTTTTCAACCAGCTTCGGCGCCTCGGTTTCAGTTTGTACATCTTTTTTTTGTATGATCGGTAAACAAAGAGATGGTAAAGAATTATTTTTAAGCTTCTTGCGATGCGTTCCTGCTAAAATATCCATATCATCGAAATGTGCTTCACAAACGGTGTAGCACTGCGGCGGCTTGTTCGTCAAATCTTCTCTAGATATTAAGTGAAGCCATTTGGAACGTCTGAAAAAGATAACAGAATATTCATGTCCCTGATGCTTATTAGATTAAAATAAGGGAAAATACGGTACGCTCATACTAGCATCAAATAAAATATGCTCCGACGCAACTACATAAGCAACTCATACACGCACACATCTGTATATAAACATTGAATCGAGCGAGCGAGACAGAACTATACGCTTCAACGCAGCGCGAGCGTAACGGCGAGTTTGCACGGCTGAGCTGTATTGTTGTGCTTTTCTTGATAACAAAATGGCGATTACGTAAATAATAATTCAGGACAAGCCGTGATTTTTGAGAAAAAAAAAATGTTTTTACAGTTTTACGAATGAAGCATTTGTTATTTAATTTTGAACTATTTGTGTTCTTTACAAAAGCATCGAAGGCTGGGTTTTTATCATTATAACACAGAATATATATTGTTATATTGAGTGCACATGCAGCGTGTTTGCATGTCAACTTGCGGATCACTTTTGAGCCGCGAGTACCGTATCTTCCATTTTTGTTTTAATCTAAGACTTAATATTATTTTAATGGGATGTGTAAATGCAGTCAAAGACAAAGTTTTCATAAATCGGCCAAATATTTAAAGAGTTTAAAGTGGCGGTTACTTATTTCAAATCAGGAGCTAGCTACATTGGACAAGTTTCGTTAACTCGCGTCAATGACACGTCACGTAAGACATTCGATTCCCCTCGTACATGCTGTCCTAAGTCTAATAACCTGCGAGAGAGAGAGACGGAATTGCGTCGGCCTTTTCGATTCGTTACTTTAGTGGCACGAGTTCTAACCTAAAATAAACAAATGTCATCCACAAATATCTTATAAACAACCAAACGTTTTATAATATACTTATAAAAGAAAGAACATTTTATATAGTAATACTCATAAATAATTCTTCTTACCTTTCAGCATCAGCAGGAAGTCGAAAATATGAAAGCTCCGGGTTTGTAATAGACGAGTTAAAGCAACCGTATACTGCGCAATACACTCGTGGCATATTTAAAAAAAAGACCGTGGATAGCGCTTACAATACTTAACAAAAAGGGTGACGTCAAGTCTCGACGCGGCACCCCCCGCGACTGTCAGCACTGCGATGTCTGCTTAGGCTCCCAGCGACGACGGGCACGCTATCATTCCAAATCCAAACGGCTCGTGAACACTCAAAATCCGCGCCTGAATGTCAAAGAGCGCTCGATAGATTCCGTTCCATTGCAAATAACTTTATCAGACGGGTTCTTTAAGCTTTGCATAGTAAAAAATGTACATAGTATAGTCCACTGTAAACTGACACGAACCTCACGTAGTGCGTACTTAGAGAGTACCAGCTTACATTGGGACCATAAGAGGCATACGATATACTTCTCATAGGTTTCCCTGTAATCTTAAAGCAGTAGATTGCGAGCAATCTACTATGACACACAGACAACCGCACACACAAACATCCTATCAGGAATGCGTTTATGTCAATTGTGGCACGGCATCCTTATAAACGAATTACATTGTTAGTGGTAAAATACGGCAAAATAAGACCAGTCTTTGATGGAATTATAGGAAGATGCACCAGAAGAACACAAATTTTCACACTGCTTCGCAGAATTATTTGTGTGTTGGATAACATTAGAATTATTATAAAAATATGGTATGTTAGGTAGATTGAATCTTCATCAGAGATAATATTTCTCTTTTAAGAAATATTTCAAGAACATCTTAGCTGTGAATCATCAAGTATGCAAGTTCCTATCTATCAACCTAGATAAAGAAAGGCAGGTACAACATTTTTTTCGCGATAAAATCAGCTGTCATTGTTCTTGCTACACAGATATGCACGTTTGTGATAATAAGTATTTCTAAGATAAAACGACTTAAAGTTTAAGATATGCTCCTTAGGAAATGCCCCTGTACTCTAGTGATAATACGTAAAATAAAATAGGATGTCGCAATTTTTTCTTTTATCTTCGCGATAATAGCAACCAGACTCCAGATTGAGTGTTATGAATAAGCTGGAATAACCACATATTTAGTTTGTGAGGAGATACAATATAATGTAAGATTGCCGGATGATAATTTTGTCTCAACGATAATATCGTCATATTTTTGGCTTTTTTAAGCATTTAAATGCTAGATGTTTAAATCTAAAGAAAATTTTACTAAAAATAAAAGTGCTGCCTGGTCCGCGTGGAATTTTTTCTAGTAAAATATTTTCTTTAGATAATATTGTTGTTTTGAATGTAAGAGAAATTCAATAGTTTATGTTATGTTTCTGCTAGTTATAATTATTGCCTAATATAATCCGGTAAATCTAGACATTCAAAGATACATAAATTAACATCAACCTGGAAGTGAGTAACATTGCTCAAAATATATTTGAAAATAACATTTCTAAATCCCCCATTGTTCCGATACTTGTAAAAAAATAATCGAAGTCAAAGGTCAAAAATACCCTCATACCCTCAGCAATTTTATTTGACACAGTAGGCTTAAAATAGGTAGGTACATTTTCAATTTACATGCAATTATTTAAATGAATATCTATAAGTAACAATAGAAAATAAAATGTATTACAAAAAACAAAAAAGAGGTAAATAATGCAAACTTGGTAGCAAGTGCCTGCCTGCGCCAAATAGGATCAAACTTCAGCATTGTGTCAGCTCAAAGAGCTGGTTTTCAACTAGACCCTGGACTATAAACTAAACCCCAGCCCCCAATGTATGTCCAAAACACGTTTCCACCTTACAAATTAGATAAAAATAAAATACGTGCGATTTATATAGAAGAAAGTTAAAAGTATACATTTAAACTAATAAATTTACCCAACTTTTACTGATACAAATGTTTATGATATATAACATACATACTAATAAATTTACCCAACTTTTACGGATACAAGTGTAATGTAAACACATACATATATACATATATACACACAAAAATACCAATGAAGAAAGGCTAAATATACGAGTCGTTGTGCTGAAAGTTTTCTAATTCCTGTTGTGCACCCAGTAGATATTTCTTTAGATTTTTTCTGAAAGAATAAATGGATTTAGAATTTCTTGATGATATGTTTAATTATAATTAAATAATTTATTAATGATAATGATAAAAAAATGTTTTTTCGTTATTTTCGACATAATATCAAGATAAAAGTGGAAAAGATAAATATTTTCAATCGAAGATTTTTGATTTACTTTATTAATTAGAGCGTGTTCGGGATTAGAAGGTCAGTTTTCACCAAATTTCATGAAAAAAATGGTTTATTTCTGGGAGATAATAATAAAAAACCAATAACTCGGTTATTTTGATCTTAAGATTTAAACATCTAACAGTTAAATGTTTTAAATAAAAAGTATAATAATAACGTTAGAGGTTGAAAAACCTCCAAAGCCATAGCAAAACTGAAGTCCAGCCTATCATTTAAGGCTATAATCGCTTGCACACGAATTTTATAATAAAAAGAGTTTTCCTTCATTATATACTTTTAACTCAGGCTAATATCGCCCTCATAAATCTTCGGCTGTTATGTACGTAAGCAGTTTACTACTGTTATCTTGTGACGTCACAATGAAAAGTAGGTGTGTGCGTGTGACTGTAAACCAATACACCAAGTACGTATTGAAATCGTAGGTCAATGGTGTGAACGAACAGAGATCAGATTATTGACATGTTATTGACAATAACTCACGTATAGAACCATGGAGGTTAGAGAGAAGGAGAACGATCTCTACGTACTAAAACATTAGCCCGCCTGACCCTGAAAATTTGTACAATTTATAGTTCATTTTCCAGTTACCAACCGCGCTGCCGTCGGTAAGTACTATCTGTCATAACTTCACAGATTCAAATTGCCATACAAAATTGACATTTCGCACTCGCAAACTATTCGAATTCTATAATGGTTCGTGCTAGGGGTACAGGTCTAGTATAAAGTACTTGTTTCAGTCAAATCTCAGATCAAGTACCTCCGCGACTAAACATCACTTACACTCGACATCCGATGGGCCGGCCGGGGCAGCTTGATACACTTTATATAAAAATAAAATAACTGCAGGTGTAAAATGTGACTGAATTATATCGAGACCAGTACCCTTAGCACGAACCAAAATCGAATTCGTATCGTTTGCGAGTCCGAAATGTCATTGTCAAATGTGTACTGATTTTTAGTTCTCGTTACGTACTTTGTGCCGCTGCTGTTAAAGTTTCCATACAAAAGGACAATGGGCAAAACGCACCCAGCTCCGCCAACAATGTAATTAATATGAATCGATAGATCTATGAAAAACTAGCCTTTTTTATTATGACACCGAAAATAAATATCCTGGGATTCAAAAGATATGACACCGTACTATAACGAACAGAATGTTTAAAAAAAAACCAACCCATGCGGGGATTTTTGGATTTACTCTAGCGCGACAGAATAACATAAGGGGGCACCCTTGCACCTTGTGAAGTACTCCCATAATTCCAGAGCACCCTATGTAGGGTCGAACTAACTAACAAATTAATTCCTTTGTTTCATTAATGTTCGTTCGTTATAGTACTTGTACATATTTAACTTAAAATAACTAAAGACCCCCGGGATGGAATTTGATGCGCTTTGGCACAGATGATCTTGACTATAATACCTTTCAAACAAATGTAGTTTAAGCCGTGGCGGACGTGGGTGCAGCGTCCATACATTTTTGCCCAATGTCCTTTGACATTGACATTTCAGTTTGCAAACTATTCGAATTCGATAATGTTTCGTGTTAGAGGTACAGAACGCAAAAACCTCAAACAAGAAACTCTTTGTTCATCACGGCATGCAGAGCAGTGACGTAGGTTTCCACGCGCGTTGTATTAAAAGACTACTGCGTATCAGTGAATAATTCATTGGCAATAGAAAGATTATTGCAAGAGCAACCACGTTGCGTTCGATAACACGAGTGATCGGTCAATAAACCGAATGTCACCAAACTGTATGGGTACGAACCTAAAAAATGTGTTGTCCTTTTTATTTCCCTCTACTGATTTGTCTCGTATTTTATGATAATCTATGTATCTATATATATAAAACTCAAAGGTGACTGACTGACTGACGTAGTGATCTATCAACGCACAGCCCAAAAAAGGGAATGAAAGTTTGTATGATACTTTGTCAATTTTAAACCGATCGGGCTGAGACTTTGCATGCAGGTATAAGAAGAATCATAGATGAATGACATTGTGTATAATACAAGCCTGAGAACAAAAACTGTAGTCTACACTTCAGTTCTACACCGAAGCGAAGCGAGGGCGGGCCGCTAGTACATACATAAGTGATAATAAAAACGAACACAAGAGAAAATTTTACGAATACCTAGTGTTTTGGTTTACTTCGTGTTTTAAGACGGCTAAATGGTAGTTGTAAATCTTCCCATGCCTAAAGGACAATGGGTAAAGAGTAGCGTATGTATATACTAAACCTGTACCCTTAGCACGAACCAATATCGAATTCGTATCGTTTGCGAGTACGAAATGTCATTGTCAAATGTGTACTGATTTTTAGTTCCCGTTACGTACGTTATGGCGCTAATTTATTTATTTATTTATTTGATCACCAATGTAATAAACATTGATACAACAATCTAGCAGGTAATGATAAAATACTTAAGCTTAATGCCCCCTATAACATAAAATAAAATGTTATTACAATTATAGGTGAAGACTACTGCGTTATAAATATTGACATATACGGTAATTCTTGGCGTAATCTATACTTTATTTTACAGTCATAAGATTTTAACGGACACCTTTGTATAATATATTCATTTTAAAAAGGACTTTTAAATTTTCCGGTTTGAAAAAGATACGAATCATTTTTATTGGCTATGGGTATAGTAAAATACATTCAGCCAAAGACTGATCGAAGTTGTTTATGGTGTCGATTCTGGCACGATTCTCTAAATCTAAACTTAATTTTGACAACAGTGCACGTTCTTTCCGGTTGACTGGTAGAGAATGCCATGCTGGCATTAAGTCCGC